AAAAAAAAAAAAAAAAAAAAAAAAAAAAAATTACATGAATGAAGGACGAGCTAGGAACATTCTTCATACCAGTTAGGATCTGACTCCTAAGCACACTTAGCTGCCTTGGTGCTCTCAGAGGAGCCCCTGTACACCTAGGCCCTCCATGATAAGCCAAGCCACAGGCAGAGAGGCAAATCGAGGGGGAGAGAATGCACATCAGCAGCCACTTTGTGCAGGGAGGGGGAACAGCAGGGCGCAGGGACTCTCCCTGGGTGGTCTTGTTGGACCGAGTGCATGGGCACACTGAAGTGTCGGCTGCATTGACCTATGCACTCCAGGCCTGCGCGCTCCACTGTGTGTGCCGCACCCCCATGGAAAAAGAAAAGCCATTTACAGGCCTGGGGCAGTCATCCCGTGCTGGGCCCTCTGCGCTCTCCCCCAGCCTCCTGCAGCCCCACCAGCCCGCTCCCCTCTGCCTGTGGACCCAGCTCTGCTCTGACGAGCTGTGACAGCTCAGGCAAGTTCCTCAGTGTCCCTGTCTCAGTGGATGTGGTGCCAACCTCAGAGATGAAATGAGTGGAGGGTGTCAAGGCCTAAGAGCAGACCTTGGCACCGGCTGACTTAACTACTAACCGCTAACGTCACTGCTCAACAAAATCAGAAGTGGTGATGATAGATTCCTAGCATAAAATGACCCACTGTGATAGACCTGAGGCAGTAACGTAAGAACAAACTCACATGAACATCTGCTATCCAGCAATATTTGGATTTGGGATTTTTAGAGCTTTCAAATGTGAAAGATGAAGAAGCCTGAGTTCACCTTAACTCTCTAAAGCTTCTAACTCACACTTGTCTGTGCAACTGGTCATTTAAAAAGAACACAACAGAAAGACTTAACTCCAGCCTTGGCAGGATTTGGGGCTCCAGTTCTGTTTTCCTACTGCTGCTGTTGAGCAATGTTTCAAAGAGCCAGCTGGGCACTCTCACCTGTGCCTCTGGTCTGGGGAGCCCCTGCATCCTCAGGGCCTGCATGGCCTGGTCTCGCTCCAGGGTCACGGCCTTCAGCACCGCCTCCTGCTCCCGTAGTGCCCGCTCTGTCTCCTGCAGCTTGGCAGCAACCTGGGAAAACACTGGGGCTCAGTCCCTGTGTGGATGACGGGGCAGCTCCTGCGCCTGCTGAGGCTCCGATGGCACACACGGGGAGGAAACGCTTGGAGCACGCTCCCCGCTGTGGCCAGGGTGCCAAACTGTTCCAGCCCAGCCCACACCCCAGGCTGCCCTTACAGGCCAGTGTGGATCATCAAACCATGCAGCTGGTCAACTACAGAAACAGCTTACGCAAGAAAGCACTGTCAAGGCGGGTGGACAGGCGGGGGTGCATTTTTATTACTGTAACTTCTCTTGCTATACAGCAAACTGCTCAGTGAGGTTGAGTGTTTTCATATTTAAAGAACAATTTGGTGAGAGCCAGACCTGTCCTGCCCAGCCCCACCTCTGCAGAGGTGCTGAGGAGGCCCCAGGCCCTGGTGACCCCACACACCTGACTTTTTGCCGCGGTCAGACCCTGAATCAGGGCCTCCGATTTTTGGATGTGGTGCCTTTCAACATCGTCACAGCGGCGCTGCCAGTCCAGGCCCAGCTGCACCTGAGCACGTTCCAGGCTCCGCTCCCTTCCGACCGCCAGGGACAGCTCCTGCTTGTACCTAAGGACACATCCAACCGCCCAGCATTAACGTTTCCTGAGGTCCCTTCCACGGGAAAAGCAGAGGCACGATGGGAAAGGCAGAGCTGCTGTGTCCCTTCTGCTCCCACGTGGCCTGCGCTGGCCTGATGTGCTCCTGTGGACGGGCACGTGGGGATGCCCAGCACAGAGATAAGCAGACACCATGGATGGCCAGATGCCGGAGAAAACCCAACACCACAGACGAGGGTGAGATACACAAAAACAGAAGAGCCAGCATGCAGGAAGAGGGGGGAAAGCAATGACCTTAGAAGATCATAAACGCAGTTATGCACAAAGGAACCGAGCTATGAAAGCAAATGGGCAGAGCAGGGTGGACCCAGCCACAGGCAGGCAGGCCTGGGAGAGCCCCTGGAGCAAGTGCAGAGCAGGGTGGACCCAGCCATGGGTGGGCAGGGCTGGGAGAGGCTATAGAGCAGTGGAGAGCAGGGCAGGGTGGACCCAGCCACAGGGCGGGCAGGGCTGGGAGAACCCCCAGAGTGAGTGCAAAGGGACATAGGGGTGGGAATGCCAGAGCCCAGGGGTTCCTCCAGAAGACCAGCATCTTAGATCAGAATGCAGGGAGGAAGCCACCCAGGATACAGAGGGGCAGGTCCACCAGGACCAAGCAGACCAGCCTTCAGAGAGCTCCAGAGACCTCACTCATACACAGTAAGGGGAAACATTACATACCAAGGATGCATGAAAAGTCTACTGGGAAAAAAGAACAAGAATTAGACTGGGAGGCCGGGCGCAGTGGCTCAAGCCTGTAATCCCAGCACTTTGGGAGGCCGAGGCGGGTGGATCACGAAGTCAAGAGATCGAGACCATCCTGGTCAACACGGTGAAACCCCGTCTCTACTAAAAATACAAAAAATTAGCTGGGCATGGTGGTGCGTGCTTGTAATCCCAGCGACTCAGGAGGCTGGGGCAGGAGAATTGCCTGAACCCGGGAGGCGGAGGTTGCGGTGAGCC